CGCTGCGCCCCCTCCCCAGATTGCAGGGGGGCAGTTTCTGGGCATTCCCACTGGCAGGGGGCACAGCAGCCAGCACTGACAAGCCCCGCTGTCACCGCCCTACCTGCTCCCAGGGACCACAGACAACCACCCCCCACCCTTAAGTTGCAGGGTTGAGACAGTGCCCAGGAGCCTCCGGGCATCACGGTCGCTGGGGGGCTGCACACCACCCGGGAGTCACAGGATTGCAGCTGCCGCCAGCACCCTACCACCCCAGGAGAATGGGGGAGACTCGGGGGTGGGGGGAGCCAGGAGCTCCCACCCCATGCCCCAAGTGGGAGGGAGGGTGCAGCGGGATTAGTGCCGGGAATCTTCTCCCTGCACCAGACCATTTCCTTGCTTGGGATTTCTTTTTGGTGTCTCTGCCCACTTCAGCTAGGGCGGCTGGCAACATGGTGCAGGGCATTCTGGGACTAGTAGTGCAGCTACCAGCGCAGGTCCCAGGGCCCCAGTGGAACACAGCGGCGTGCAAACTACAACTCCCAGCATACCCTGCAACACCCAGTCCCTGTTGCATCTGCCCACAGTGCCAGGGGGTGAGGCCTAATAGCCAAGTGGGACTAAGGCCCACCTCAGCCCCACCCAGGAAGAGGCTGGTGCTGCAAGGAATCCGGGACAAACGCTGTTCCGGAGTCACTCAGCCCAGAATCGGGACTTGAACTCTGCATTTTGGGACTGTCCCGCCTAATTTGGGATGGGTGGTCACCCTCCCCCATCTTCTCCTCTAGTCAGATGGGGAAAAACCAGTTGTTAGCTTTGGCAAGGTTCCCTTTTTTTGCCTCACCCATCCCATCTTTCCCTTGGGAGTACTCTCTGTAAAGAGCTTAAAAAGTTTTCTGCTAAGGGTAATTGATTAGAGTTGGTCAGTTTCCCAGTGCCTAAAGCTGAGCTGGCTGCAGTCAGCTGATTGGTAGACTTCATTTCCTTCTAGAGTAAAGGTAAAACAAGCCCTTTACCCATGGAAAAAACTGAAGAGGGAAAAAACTAGTATTACTGTCAGTTTCTGGTTTCAGTGTGTAGAAGTTCTTGCTGCTGTCCATAGAGAGACCACTGGGAGAGAGGGGAGGAGCAAGAGGAGCATTGAAACAACAAAATAAAAATCATTAACAGAAAAATTCAAACTACAGAAAAAGTCTAAAGGAGTTTTAAAAAAAGGGAGCGGGGGAAGGGAAAAAACACAGAAAGGAGGACAGGAGAGAGGCAATAAAAAGGAGAGAATGCAGAGAGGAGGAAGGAGAGAAGTGAAGATGGGGAAAGGGAGAAGATGCCTTTTAGAATTTTTGCACTGGGTGTCACTGGCACACAAATACTGTTGCAGCCAGTGCCAAAGATTTCAAGGCATACTTGGGAGTAAGTGTGACCCCAGCCTGCAAACAGAGTAAACTGTACCAGTGGACTGCACTAGAGTAAACTTGTTTGCACTAAGGGGTTCCATCAGGGCAACGACACCAGTTAAAATCCAAGCTGCTGTATTTGAGGAGTACGGGGAACGGATAAATCTCAGCTTATGGCACTTGTGCACCTATACCCAACACAGCTAGCCCTTTTCATGCCCTTAACTTTTAGTTAGTATGTCGGGTTTCTTTGTTTTAATTATTAATACACTTGCTGACCTTCAGGAGAGCCAGATCCAGGAAGCATCTAATACCAAAAAGAGGAAACAGAAAGCCTTCTGTATCCTGGTGATCTGAAATCTGTGCCTAAGTGCATAGTTAGGACCCTGACTTCTTTCATGTACATGTCTTTAAGCACATTTCTCAGACCTGGCTTACGCAGAAACTTCTATGGTCTTCCAGATGTCTAGGACTATGCAGATTCCACAGCTCTGTCATTGACTATTACAGGCCTTGCCCCCCTGCACTTTTGTATAGAGCCGCTCCACTCCCTCTCAATCAGGGTCTTGCTCCAAGCTCTATCTGTTTAGGTATTACACAGCCCATGACAGCATGGTATCTATAATACAGGGCAAGGGGGGAGCAGAGCAAGCACAGAGCTGGAAGAAGATTAGACCCAGAGATGTAGGAGGAAAGTGAACAGCACTCTCACAGTAGGAAAGGGATCAGGGATCACAGATCGGGGGGAAGACGAGGGAGGAGACAATATGGTAGGTCACAGAACCTTTCTAGTGTTTAACTGATTACTTTGTGTGGGTAATTAACAAGTGACAAGGAAGGGCAGTTTTCATATTTTATTTTGTTACAATTAAATGCAAGTTCATTCCCCCCCCCCAAACTATGCATACAGTACGTGCCAAATTAACTACTCTCCTCCACCCTAGTTGAAGGGAAGGGACTATAAAAATGACAAAACCGACCCTGCTTCATAAAAGGGGCATCCCATTTAAAAAGATGTGACAGGTGAGAGGTATGCACGCAGCATACGTGTACTGTACACCCAGTATAACTAAACAAATGTTTTCAGTCCCTTTCTGCTTGTTCAAGAAAAATCAGACTCTGCAAGTTTTGATACTTTGGTTATTGCTACCATTATCAAACCCTATAAGCAGGTCCTAATCCTACCTTCCTTCCATCCTTCCCCTCCTGTTTTCAATGGGATTACAGGTGCATATCCAAGGGCAGAATTTGGCCAGTAGCAAAACAAAGGCCTTTGTTTAGTTTGGGATAAAACGTTAATATTTCCTACTCCCATTAATGTCAGCAGGGGCCTTTGCATTGAGTTTACTGGTAGCTGAATCAAATCCTGATATGGCAGTGTTTATAATATGAAAAAAGTCTCTTTACACAGACGTTTGTTTTGTTGGTGTGTTTGGTGCGTTATTATGCTAGTTAATCATATGTCTTCCTAAAGGATAGTAAAACACTATCAAATAAAATATTTGTAAAGGATAGTATTGGTATTGTACACTAGCAATATATACTGTTTAAAACCTGAATTGTTATGCTAAAATGTATTCAGGTGTAGAATGACTGAACAACAGTAAACATTCAGCCAATACAACTGATGAAGGGTAGGGAGTAAAATAAAACAACAGATTAGGTAAAACTAACATGTGATAAGGTACACCTGCTAAAATGCACAGACCAGGACACACCAACTCAAAGCAGCACCAGATCCTCCCAAAACAACAGATGCAAAACCTGCAGACATATCTCCGCTGCTACGGTGATCAACACTCCCCACAACACAGCTTTCAAGATCCATGGATTCTACACATGCCCATCACAACATGTGTACCTCATTCAGTGCACTAAATGCCCCAATAACAACTACACCTCTATCCCGATATAACGCAACCCAATATAACACGAATTCGGATATAACGCGGTAAAGCAGCGCTCCAGGGGGGCAGGGCTGTGCACTCCAGTGGATCAAAGCAAGTTCGATATAACGCGGTTTCACCTGTAACACGGTAAGATTTTTTGGCTCCTGAGGACAGCGTTATATCGGGGTAGAGGTGTACGTGAAACCAGACAATAATGAACTCTTGAATGAACTCACACAGGAAAATGATAAAAGACAAAAACATCCTATTGCCTGTGGGTGAGCACTCTTCACAAAACCATCACTCCATAGCTGGCCTATCGGTTCTCATCCTCAAAGGAAACCTGCACAACATTTTCAAAAAAGATAAGCCTGGCGCTTAAATGCATATCTCTGCTAGACACCAAAAATCATGGACAGAACTGAGACACTAGATTTATAGTTTACTCCAAGGATCTGCAAAAAGAACAGGAGTACTTGTGGCACCTTAGAGACTAACAAATTTATTAGAGCATAAGCTTTCGTGGGCTACAACCCACTTCTTCGGATGCAAGGATCTGTAATCCATTAACCCCCCTCCCCTTTTGTCCTATGACTACAGAGGTGTTAACGGGCCACTTCAACCTTGAATGCAATCTGATCCACTTTGTATTTAGCTGGGACACGCTGAGTACCTTTCCCAGACCTGAAGACGAGCTCTCTGTCAGCTCAAAAGCTTGTCTCTCTAGCCAACAGAAGTTGGTCAACCCACATTGTCTCTCTAACATCCTGGGACTAACACAGCTACAACTACATTGCACAGCACAGATAAGGCAGTGTACATTTTAACACATACAAGCTGATTGAGTGAGAAGCCTCCCGGGAACCTTAGGATACTTCCCAGCATGGGTAGATGGACACACACTGGTTTTGCTCAAGCAAGCATGCTAAAAATAACAGCGTGGCTGCTATGACATGGGCAGTGGCTCAGGCTAGCCACCCAAGTATAATCCTGCCTGACCCCCTGGGTCTGGACTCAGATGGCTTCCCTGAGCCACTGCGTATGCCATCACGGCCACACTGTTAATTTTAGTGTGCTACACATCTGTCTCCCCAAGAGGAGAAATACCCTCCCAGCTGCTGTGTAGAGACCCCCTCAGGGAGCATGAGCTTATCACATGTTAAGGGCAATGTACCTTGTCTACACTAGATTTAAAATGGGCTAGTTTGCACATGTTGGCCAATACATGCTAACATCATTGCTTTAAATCCTAGCCTAGTCCAGCCCAAAGAGACAGAAGGGACAGGCAAGTACCATACTCTGGGTTTGAGTGGAAAACTTGATTTTAGAAACACAAACACAGATCTCCAAGGACTAAGGCTGCGGCACAACTGTCAACACCCTGCTGGTGAGAACTTATTTTTCCCCTCACTTTTTATACCTGGTGATTGCAACATGTCCCCTCCCCAAAGTAGTATGAAGCACATATGGCAACTCACCAAAGCAGAATGCTCCTCTCCCTCCCACCTACTACTGGGAAAGCAAGTAGAGGAAGCTACCTTAGAGAGTAAGTTTTTTCCTCTGAAGCTTAGTTTCAGATTTACCTATTTGCAGAAGGAGACATTTTATAACTGTGAAAAAGAAAAGCTTGATACAGGCTATAATAAAATGGGGGCCTTCCCAGATATCAAAACACCTCCCAAACCCAGCCTTAGTAGCAAGCATCTTTACAAAGAAGAAACAAGGCAGAAATACTTACACCCAGTAAAGCAGCATCAGCAGGAAAGGGCAGATGATGACCGCCTGGAGAACTTGCCAGTCCCTGCAGAGGGCAGCCAGACCTGGCATGAGGAACTGTCCTGCCATTGCAATGAAGCTTGCCACCATGGTGACCATGAACCGGTGCCCAGGAGGACAGAGTTCTATTCCTGAAACAAAAAGGCACATGCAAAATTTGAAGGTCAATGCAAGGAAAATTTTTTTTGTTATCCATAATGACAGAGGAGCTCATTAATCGTTTATTAAGGCACTGGAGCCAATGTACTCCCATCAATCACAATTTTTTCTATTTGATTTACGAAGTGGATACAATAGTCCTTTTAGTAAGGATTTCACTCAGTCTCGGGCTCAAGAAAATATTTTACTGAAGACTTATGGCAAGTAAAAGCTTACATGTGTCCCAAAGATTTAGGGGCCAATCCTGCAAGATGCTGAAAAAAGCCCAGAGGTGCCAAGTGCCTTCAATTCCCATTGAATTTCATGGGAGTTGCGAGTGCTTGGCACTTTGCAGGATCTAGCCCTCCAGTCACTATGGAAAGCCACCTTCCTCCAAATGTATCATGCTAGTACTCAATCCCATTTTAAATTGGACTTTTCGGAGCTGTTTTCCCCTCCCCCCATAGGGGATCTCACTCAGCTTTCAGCAAGACAGCTTCCCATCTGTCCCTTTCTTCCCTCTTCAGTGAAATCCATCACCACTGCCATCATCAGTAATCTCAGCAGCCCTGATGGCAAAGGGGTGGTTGATAAAACTCCTTAAAATCCCTCGGTCCTGGATAGTCACCCACTAAGACTTAGAAATGAAGCTGGATCTAGCGGAATCACATTTTCAAAAGCAACAGAAACGTAGCAATAAAACTGGTTCAGATCCTACAACTACATCCTAATGTTGATGGATTTTTTTCCCAGCTAGAGCTACAGTGGCACACTGCAACCTACACTTTCTGCTTGTCTACATCCACTTCCATGGGTTAATCTTGAGGCATAACAAGCTTGCCACAAATACTTACTGTGCAGCCCTTATCTGCAAGTGGAAACAGATACATAGGCTAGAAAAATGTCTGTCACCATGATAGCATTGACAAAGGCAATGTGCTTTTCCTTGGAACTCTGCCAGTTATTTTGTTGTTAAAATGATGATTAAATGATTAAGAGGATGGATAATGGAAAGCCGGGGTAAGGGGAGAGGAGGAAGATAAGTTGTCTTCATCAGAGGCCAAGTTGTATGTGGGATGGGGATTTGAGCAGAATGTTTATCACATTGTTCAAGGCTAGCAGGTTATTGCTGGAACAGGAACGTTGCCAGCCAATACAAAGGAAAATGTATCTGTAGTGAAGCAGTCAAAATTTTCATTATCCTAGCAACAAACAAACCACAATCCAGCTCTGGCAGGGGGAGGAGGGGAAATAAACTGTTGCATATAAAAAGGCTTTCACAGTTTAATTAGTAAAACAAGATTAAACACAGAGCTCCCATCCCATTAATATGGCATCATTCCTAGTAATGAAGTACACTGGGTTTAACCAATTCCATTTTTTCTTGGTAGGGAGGTGTCCTCCAAGTTCTGTTTTTATAGCCTTCAAGCATAAAGCTATTTTGTTTTTTAAATTAAACATCATAGTCACTCACACTCCAGTATTCTTTCAGTAAGTACTAGATTTGTTGCTATAGAAACAAAAAAATCTGCATTAGACAGGTGCAAGTTCAGCTTTCCAATGGCTGAGCTTTGGTTAGTGTCAGTTATGAAAAGTTGCAGACAAGATCAAGTTTTTTATGAAGTCAGAAAGATGTGTCAAAATTGTATAATTGCGTTTTTGAGTCAATGGTGCATAATAGATGTAATAGTCCATTTGCAGTAATTATTGATTGTATAAAAAAAGCAAAGAACTTCAGAGAAGAAAACAGAAACAAAACAATCGCTGGGCTATCATATATGTATGATCAAGTTTTCCCACTTTTCTGGAGAAGATGAAAAATTGCCATAGTTACTGGATTAGCATGACTTTCAAGAAAAGTTAGCACAAACTCAATGTGTCTATTAAATACAGCATCACTAATGCAAAATAATATACATTAGATCAGTCTCTTGACTTCCCAAAGATCTGCAGCACCAGTCTTAAAAGATACAAGAAGCTATAATCGCAGTTCTCAGCAGACACCTGGCAGACCAGCATTCTTGACCTTGTCAACAAGGCAATCTAAGCATCAGTGTGTCAAAGAGAAGGGCTCTCACAATACTGCACTGATATCTGACACTGTGATGCATATAAGACCCTTCAGCCCACACAGGGCCCCACTGACTTCATGTGGCTCCATGCAGACTCCGGGGTATGCCCACACACATCCATTGCAGTATGGAGGTCTAACTTACCCCATCCATAGTATGAAAGTATAACAAAACTTAGGTTTCTCCCATTCAATTAAGAGTTTCCCAACCTATTCCTTTGGGGGAGGAGTTCTATGTAGCCTGTTCCCATTAATTCAAACTAAAGAAAGTCACTGTAATCACCCCCCACCCATACACACACCCCTTTTGTTTTTGGCCACATACAAAATCTAAATGTCCTTCAAGCCTGTCTTCTGGCCTCTTTCTGGCATTTGCTGTTCCTGGCTTCTTTTATTCCTGACACCTGCGTTTCTCCTCTTGGCCTGGGGAAGAGGGAAGGGGACCCAGACCCACCCTCTCCTCTGGATTCCCCCTCCCCAGGAACACTGTTTAGACGGCTACCGATCATTCCTTCAGTCCCTTCACCATTTTCCCTTGGCTGCTCTCACCTTTACCACTCTCATCAGTATCTTTACAAGATCTGCAGATTCTGCTGCCCTGCCCTGAC